ACTAAAACCCATAATTAGGGCTTGATTACACTTTCAAAGCCAATTCACGATTCCTTATGTCCTCTTCATTTTGGCTTGACATTTCTAATACTCACTTCAATATCTATCTTCGAACTTTTAGCTTGATCAAGTCAATGCAAAGTGATTTTTCAAATCTTTATCCATACAAGCAAACCAATGTAGAGAACATCTTATATCCATTATACATTGTCTCCTTTGTCATTTCACCTTTGCTTAATATTTTCACACTTATACACTCTTGATTCATTCTTCAATCCTTGATCAAAGCTAATCCACTATCAAACTTTTCTTGATCATGCAAAGCAAGCCATTATTGAGATCATTTCCAAAATTATCAACTCATGTCTCTTTTAACATTTGTCAAATATACTTGTTTTCTCATGATACCATGATATTCCTCAACATAGAAGCCATTTCATCAGCTCCATTTACATTGTTGTCTTTCTCTTGAACTATATTGTTTCCGTGATCTTCCAATACAACAATACACAATTTTGGCCATGATTTAAACATTATGTCGAATATCATCAAGTTTGCCTTCTTATTGAACCTATATACACTTCTCATTTCACAATCCACAAGTGTATGCAATAAACTCAATTTCTTGTTCAACACTTAGCAAACTTGTTAGACCTTTAATGGTGTTGTTATTCAATTCACTAAAACCCACTAAAGGGCTAGATGCACTTATAAATACATTGCTGCAGCCTGCAGTACAAATTTGTAATTTCCATTACAAAATAAATACTGCCATGTAGAGATAGACACGCATGCCTCTCGGGGTAGATCCATGTGCCGGGCAGCACGTTTGTCCCGGTTGTTAACCTTATCTCAACCAAACCAGCTGAGTGTTTAGTCATGGCTAGAGCTGGACAAGGGTCTTGTGTTTGGTTGCTTAGCTTAGGCTGGCAACTCCAAGAGACTCTTTATATATTTTTAATTTATAAAAATATAGATTTTGGTGAAAAATACCCTTCAACAGCCTTTTAAATTAGATATCCAAATATAGATATAATTTATTTTAGATTTCTCGCTAGCCAAAGATAGAGAGTGAGGATGATTCTCTAGAGTGCGCATAAGATATAGAAAAACTATTGGAGGGGTACAAAGGTATAAAAAAAACAAGTTTCACTTAAATGACTGTCCAAATGATGATTAGAGAGTAAATTTTAGAAAAACTCTTAGAGATGCTCTTATATTTACAAACTTGTATTTGGTTGTCTATCTTGATTGTGTATATCCCTATCTTCTCTGTTTGGATAGTTTATATCATATCAATGACAAATAGAATCTCCATCGGCATGTCTGGTGTCTCTCTTTTCGTGAGAGAAGTGGAGCACCGGAGAGTAGTCCGTAGCAGCATCATGTCCATCGCCATCCAGTTTGGAGATGGCAATAGGGAATTCCATGTCGGGAAATGGTTTCACATCCCATTCCTCGTAGTCGTAGGAGGAAAAATCTTTTGTCTCCATCGCGAAAGCTCGCGATAGTGATTTGGCTCATGACTGCGCACAAGGAATAATCCCTGCAATGATCTTTGTCCCCGCATCGATACATCACATAATATATGTTTCAATTCGAACTTAACATAAAGTAAGCGATAACTTTTAGCACAAGTGCACAATTGATAAACTACAATGTACTCGTATAGTCCATTAATTAATACTCTAGTGCAAATACACACAAGTATATACACTGCACAATAAATATATCACAAATTCTAGTGATATAGTGCATATGTGGAAAATGGAGCCGGGATAGGGACAACGAGCAAAAAACCATTATTCCTGTCCTCCATAGGCCCCTTGGGGATGTATTTTCCCCTATTTAAATCTCTGTAGAGGGGTTGAGAACTGACCCGTCCTTATCTCCTAATAGGGGAATTCTGCACGGGGAATTAGGGATCAACCTCATCAACATATCTAATCTAGATGTTATCCTTGGTTAGCATCCTGAACGGATCCTTGCACCAGCATGAATGGTAGCCTACAGGCATTAGTGCAAGGACCTTCCAACTAATCACACCGAACTAAGCTGTTATTCTCCGATCAACACTCACTTTAATATGACTAATCCCAACCAGTCTTTAGAATCACAGCATCCATGTTATCCACTACATTCATAACCTGGATCCATTGCTTAGAAAGAACATACACCCAGGTTCAACTTCACATAAAGAATAGTCAAGTTACATCACACATTGTTCAACACATCAATTCACATCACTCGAATTACTACAACAAAAGTTTAATTATACAAAAGGTTAAGATACACATCTCGTGCTCGTGGACCATGCCACGTCCACGGGCTATGCCTCTCACATGGGCGATGCCATCACTCCTAAGGATGGATTCGGATCGGATCCGGACGGATAAGGATTCGGATACCACTATTTACCACATTTTAATTCGAATTCGAATACGAATATGAATATTGTCGATACTAATGCAAAACAGATATCTCAAATTCGAATTCGGATTCGGATATCCACTTGATTTTTAAGATAACATGTATAATAACACCGTGGATTTAAAATCATAGCTATATAACACCGTGGATAAAGATAACTACCAAAAATAAATTATTTTAATCAATATTTTAATAATTAAATATATAAAATATAAGAAAATTATAGATTATATATATTAATTACAGAATTCAAATAAATAAAAATAAATTTTAAAATTATATAAATAAAATAAAATACTAATTAATATGATTAGCCATATTAAAATCAATTACCTTAGGATTTATATATCATTAATAATATTAAAATTACTTATCCTTAGATAACTTTTAAATAATAATACATATCATCTATTATATTAAATTTATTTTCATTTACATAGTTAATTAGTCATAATTGTAAGATTTAGATGGTTTCAAAATAATTTGTACTTCGCGGATACGGATAATATCGGACATTTCACATTTTTGTCAGATACAGATGTGGAATCGGATAGAGAATAATCTTGAAAAACAAATACGGATACATCCATTTAGTATCCATATTTAAATCGAATACGAATACAAATATCCATATTTACACTAAAACGGATACGGATGTTGGATGTTTCGGATATCTAGACATCGAGATCCATCCTTAATCACTCCTAGAGCCCTAGTCCACCGAAGGATCTAGGGCATAGAAGTAGCCATAGGTCGATGCCATCTCACCTGCAAAAGCTTAAGCGTAGCACCATGAGCACACGGGTATACTCCACATGACTTATCCGATATAGCAAACAAGAAACATGCATTTACTCATCGCAACATATAAGGTGGCTTGTATAAAAGCATTTGTGTATAAAGTAAAGGTCGTCAACAATCTACTTCTAGGCATGGCAAGTACTTTTGTATGAAGCATATGAACTACATAAGCTGGAGCTCGATCTTCCACGAATCTTTTCATTACAACAATTGCTCTTGTGTAGCCATTATAAATTTTAAATATATACATCTAGAGGATACCCTACGTGTTGTTGTGGGTATCAGAGATGATATTATACTACTTATATTTACTTATATGAATGGAGAAATATTATAATGCATGATAGTGGGTGATGTGGGCAACTAAATATATGTTAGCGAATGATGTTGCTTAATGACGTGAATAGCTTGAATAAAGACATAATTGCATGTGCTAGTGTACGTTGATATTGACAGCTTGCATGGCAAGATAGAATGCTAGTGGGGATTGAAAATAATAAGAGATATAGATATGTACAATAATCTTTTTTCTCCAACCCTAGCATGTATGTGTACTTATTTGTTTCGTGTCTGTAAAATGGTTTGCCTGGATGCCCAAATTCTTGAGATGGGTAGGAAGTGGACATATTAAGAGGTGGAAATGGCATGGGTCAGAACATGAAAAGAATCCAACGAAGAATGATATTCAAGTTGCACCACCTAATTGATTGAAATTGTTAATTCTTCCCTGCTGTATGCCAGTATCAAGTAATGATGAATCTATTGTATATGTTCACTTTCTAGTTCATCTCTTTTTGGCTGGCCGCCTCACTAGCGAACTGAAGCATCGAAGTAACCTTTGATAATCCTGTTCTTGTTGTATTACTGATATACTCCCTCCATCTCAAAAAAGAATATGACTTATATGTGGGACAAGTCAAACATTTTTAAGTTTAATCAAGCACTTGAACTACTGGCGAACTTGTCGCCTTTCTTGGATAGTCGGACCTTCATGCAACCTACACCGGTCTTGCAACACATCCTACACTATCCACCCATTGACTCTAGTGTTGGGACTTGGGAGTGGTGGCCGGTGGGAGACCAGGAGTCTCTAAGTCGGGAATCGTCGAATCGAGAGGAAAATAGAGAAACAAGGAAGGGTCCTTGGTGTTGGTGCTACTGGGATTTTTCTATTGGGCTGCTAGACTTTTCATTCACATGTTGAAGCCCACTCGCCAATAGCTCAAGTTGCGAGTTTCACATCTCGGTCGATCTAGCCCCTCCTACGAGCGCATCAGTGGAGTTCTGCCACTCCATTTGAGTGCATCCATAGAATTTAGGAGGGGCTTGAGGTGGGGCTTCACAGTACCAGCAGTAGTAGGGGGCTCGAGCCCCACCTGCCCTATCGCTAGATCCGCCACTGATTGTATCCGATTCTTCTCTTTGTTATTATTGGCCTTTCAGGAATCTACGGGCATATCGATTCCATCTCATTCTGAATGTCTTTGTGCAATGCGCTTTTAAACATGGTCCGTTCTGTAGTGATCTATTCTAAATTTATCATTGTTCAATTCTAATTTTTTAGCATTGCAGGTTGTCCCTCCTGTGATCATTCATATATATTTCCTAAATTCACATGGGTTTGTTTAATTTCTGTACAGATCTGGTAGTTGAGGAGTATAGTAGTAGAATAAACATGTACGAGTAGTACAATATACTCGTACGTGTGTAAAACTAGGCAGTGCCCACGTAGCAGCAGGCCAGGAGCGTGTCCTCTCCGCCGGGCCCAAATGGATCCAAATCCGTTGCCGCGCAAACGACGCGATCCTGGGGGCTCAAGGGCTGCGCCGATGGCTTGTGGGACCGTGGGGCCCGCGGGTTGGGTTGCCGGAGGGATTCCCGGGCAGCCCCTACCCGGCCTGCCCGCGGGCACCTCTGGCCTCTCGCCGGCTATAAAACGGGCGCCAAGTCCTGGATACTGCAGTTTGCCGCTCTGTGACACTGCTGCCAGTCTTCTTCCGCCGCCACCGTCGTCTTCGTCCGTAGGTAGCCTCTCTATCCTCCTCTCTCCTGTCCTCGCTTAATCTTATCTACTAGTAGTACTCCGATGAGATGCTAAGAAATCTTTTTTTTTTGAACCGAGATATTGCTAATATGATAACACTTGCTTATTATCTTAATCCTGAAAGTGAATCTTGTGCAACTCTAAACGGTCGTAATGGAGGATACAGTAAACATCCTTTCCTCTGAGTGGGATTTACGAACGCAGTTAGATTTCCCTGTGCTTCGCTGCGTTACGCATAAGGATTTACTTCTGGATTTCTATTTATTTTTTTCGCAATTTATTATTGCGGCTTTCCTTGTGGATGTTGCTCGGTGACTGATGGCCTATCTCTTGGCATCTGCAGATCAGAGAGGGAGGAAGAAAAACCGATCGATGGCGTCCAACTACGTGGACACGACGGGCGAGGAGGGCAGGTTCCACGGCCCCCACAGCCACAGCACCAGCACCACCCCGACGGGCGCGGCGGCGGCGTTGTCGCCGCGCAACATGCGCCGCAGCTTCTCCTCCGCGTCCTCCGGGAGCCACAGCCACGGCGGCGGGGGCAAGTGCGTGTGCGCGCCCCCGACCCACGCCGGGTCGTTCAAGTGCCGGCTCCACCGCACCAACTCCCAGGGCCACGCGCACCCGTCCCCGCCGGTCTCCCCCGCTGGCGGCGCGTCCTCTGCCGCCCCGGCGCAGGGCGTCCCGTCCTCCGCCTCCTCCCGCACCGTCGAGGCCCAGTGAGTGACGCCGCCGCCCGCGGAGCTGCTGTCGTCACCGAGACCAAGACGGGCGAGGCGCAGGGATGCTTGTCGTGTCAGAAGAAGGGAGCCTATTAGTATTCCCCTTGTTGTGATCCGCGTTATCGGATTTTTCCCCCCTCTTCACTTTTGCCTCTTTTTCCCCTGCTCGTTTCTGTGTGGAATTCCTATTGCCTCCTTTCGTGCTCTGCTTGATTCTGAAGTTCTGATTGCCAGCCGCCTCACCCCCCTCCTTCCTTGCTAAGATGAGACTCCCCGGTCTCAACTGGATCGTATCCTATTTGGGACTTGGGAGACGATGAAAATGGATGCCTATGTAATTAATTGCCTCTCTTTACCATTCTACTCCTAGTTACTATTGAAGTATCATCACCCTTGTTGTGAATTTATCACTGGAATGCGATGTCTGAGACGAGATCCTTTCCAGATTTCCTTGTGTGATGTGATGGTGTGTCGTCTCTGTGCGTCGATTGGGCAGTTTGAGCAACCTACTCCTACTCCTCCTTGCTGTGTTTTCAGTCTTGTTTCGGAAGACTTCAGTTGTCACTTGCTAGCTTTTGGTAAAGAGTTGGTACCGTACATAAAAAGATGTTCATCAGTGGCAGTTTGGGATCGTCCTCTTGAGGTGAGGTGGAAGGTACAACAGCTGAAGCCTTCAAGGCGAAGATGACGACGTGATGTGGCTTTCGCTGGTTGCTAGGACAATTTTCCCCAAATATTCCGTTTCGATTTTACTAGTACTAGCTTGAACTTGACGGATTAAGATAGAATTAGGATGGCGGTTAGGACCGGACCTCTCTCTTTGTCTTTTTTCGGTGTTGATATCGCGTTTCGACATCATCCATGTTCTCCTCTGCCACTCCTGAGTGCAGGAAAGAATGCAATTCGCACAGTGTCATTGTCATAGGTTAGTATCTTAAATTTAATTAATTATAGATAAAAAATATCAATATTTATAATATTAAATAAATATCATTAAATTAACTACAAAATGTATTTTAAAAATAAATTATTTTAGAGCCGTAAATGTAAATAGTATTTACTAACAACTTGGTTAAACATAAACCGTTTATGTTGGCACGTAACCTGTAGTTGTATTCTTTTGTGTATGTAGGGAAGTACCCTTTTACTTCCTCCATCCAGTCAAAGTAGCTCAAATTTGATCAAATCTATAGTAAATAGTATTAATATTTATTATAAAAATATATTCTATGACTAATCTAACGATACTAATTTTATATCAAGAGTGTTAAGATTTTTTATATAATTTTGATTAAAGTTCAAACTAATTAAGTTATCAGGAATCGAGAATTGTATTCTCTCGTGGACGGAACGAGTAGATCTACTGGGGCACACGCACACACAAACACAGTATATGTATATCTGACTGACAGAACACGCATGTAGATTCAGAATTTTCTGATCAGTGATATTGCTTCGGTGTGGCACCAAAAGAAAATTTGCCCTCCAGCTCCAGCCTTCAAGGTGAGTGCATCTACTCTGTGATGGAACTTACGGGACCTCTAGACGTAGATCAAGTGGCTAAAACTCAATTTAGATAAAAACTTGATGATGTACCTCGTCGTCATGGCACGATACGACGCGCCTCTAATATCAGAGTAGAGATAGCATCGTAGTGGTGGCACAGTCCAATGACGGTAGTGAAGGAAGGAGGAACTTCCCGTTGCTCAAAGCGCTCCCTCTAGATCGGACTAGGGTTAGACTCGGTGGAGAACTTATGGCTGTAGTCAACCTCGTGTTTCGAGCCTTAGCTCCCACCTCCTTTATATATAGCGCCACTGTGACGGGCCCCACCAAATTAAGAGCGGCTAGGCGCCCCGATTAGGGCGCGAGTCAATGGCCTAATTGACTGTTGGGCCAAATTGGTGGAGATGAACCTAACATTATCTCCCTTAATCTCTCCTTATGACTTAAACTTAACTTACTTTATTTTTTTTCCCATTCCATCACACATCAATGCATAGAGCGTGCCTCATCATCACATCGATTGCCATCGATTAAATAACTACAATGCACCTCTCTCTTTTGAAACAGATTCTCAACTAGGCCCTTAGTATCCATAAATCATAGGCTTTTTCGTAAACCCATGTCGACTGTGTGTTCTCTAAACGCACTAGGTGGTTTGCCTTTGGTAAGCGGATCCGCAAGTACTTGCTTGGTACTCATATGCTCAATGCTTTCAAAATGATTCTGGATTTTCTCCTTTACAACATATAACTCAATGCCAATGTGTTTGGCAGCACACTTGACCGAGTTAACTACTTTAAATGGTTATTGCTGTTGACTACCATTGTTAAATCTGGGTACAAATTCTCTTAACCTCCATTTGCCAGTTCCTTAAGCCTCATGTCAAGCTGTACTATGGTATGCATCACTGATGACACTACAACTGTTTCTTTGGAGTTTTTCCACAATAATACTCCAAATCATGAAAGTGTTAACAACTCATCGTAGATTTCCTACATATCTCGCCAAGACTTAATATTTGTACCCTCAACTATTTGAGAGTACTTGTTCTTTCTTAGTCAGCATGAGGCCTATGATACTTTGCAAAATTGCAAGACATTCTCAACTCTATTCCAGTGATCTATATCTGGACTAGACTTCTGCTAAAATATCCTAGATATGTAAACTACGTCAAGGTAAGTTCTTATTTGTACTTATACACTCATCAAGCTTCCAACAACTGAAGCATCTGGAACCATGTTCATTTGATTGATCTCATATCGATTCCTGGAACACTTAAAGTTTCCAAATTTATTACCCTTGACTATAGGAGCAGGCGTAGGTTTACTCACATGCATACTTTATTTCTTTAGAATCTTTTCTAAGTATGTCTTTGCGATAGTCCTAATACCCTATTTTCTTCTATCTCTGTGAATTTTGATTCCTATAACCAATAACGCTTAACCAAGATCATTCACATTGAAACTTGAGGACAAAACTTCTTCTCCAATGATAGATTAACATCACTACTAGTGAGTAGAATGTCATCTATTCACAGGATGTGGAAAATGAATTTTTCATTCTTGAACTTCGCATAAACGCTATTGTCCTTCTCATTTTCTTTAAAACCCATACTTTCTTATCGTTTCATCAACTTCAAATATTACTGCCTAGAGACTTGTTTTAACCCATAAATTGATTTCTACAGGCGGCATCCCATACGTTCTTTTTCTTTCACGATAAAATCTTTGGGTTGTGCCATGTAAATGTTTTCATACAAATCCCCGTTGAGAAATGCCGTCTTTACATCCATCTGATGTAACTCTAAATTGTAATTTACCAATAACACCATTATAATTTTAAAGAATCCATGCATGAGACTGGAGAGAAAACTCTCATTGAAATCTATTCATTCTCTTTGCGTAAAGCATTTTGCTACAAGCCGTGCTTTATATCTTTCTATATTCTATTTGGAGTCACATTTTATCTTATAGACCCATTTACAGCGTACTGTTTTGGCTCCATTAGGAATTTCTTCTAAGTACCAAACATCGTTGGTATTCATCGAATTTATTTCAACTTCCATACTTTCTTGCCATTTAGACGAGTAAACGCTTCTCATGACTTCTTCAAGTGAGATGGGATCACCCTCCATTTGAATTTCTTCACTAACATAGACTTTATAGTCATCAGAAAAATTGGTTTACTAATTCTTTGAGACCTTCTGGGGCCTCAGCTACTGGCACTTTCATATCGGGCTATTATTGCTCTTCATTGCCAAGAGGCAATTGATTCTACATGCTCCTGTGTTACAAGATCCTTGTTTACATTATTCATCTTCTTCGAAGAGCTAACAACAGGTGTTGTATTAGTCATACAACATCAACAGATATTGAGAAACTTGTTGCTCCTGAGTCACTACATACCTCTACATACCATGCTTCCCCAGATCTTCCCATCTTTTTTAAAGATAGTGTACATTTAAATATCTTATTTTGGGTTTAATTTGTTAAAACCTTATATGGCGCTTTAAGCACCACCTTAACATTTTTGAGGCTGACTACGCTATCTTCCTATTGGAATTTTAAAAGGTCTAGAAATTTAGCTATTTCTTTGCTTAGGGGTATCATTGTTGTGACCATTGTACTTCTCCAACGGTCGCATTCATCTTAATTAATCTTTATCTCACTCTTAATGAAGAGTATCTTTCTTAATTGATATTTATCTCACTCTTAATGAAGAGTATTTTCCTTAATTGATCTTAATATTCTCCCCCTCGAAATATGGCATGAACTTTACTGGCATAATTTCGAGAACTATTTAGAAAACCTATGAACAAGGAGACACTTATAACTTACTTCATTCACACAATTATGTCATGTAAACAAAGTTATTTCTTAATCCATTTAGAAGTACACTTTCCTTATTTCACTTTAAGAACTCAACGAGGTCTTTCATTAGCAGTACTTTTGTAAATTACGCTTGCATCTTTTCTTATCTTTTGATTAGTATTGACCATGACGATGCATTTCTATTGTGCCATGGTTAATACTAGGATAGCATAAGAGTTACTCAAACTTCTCTCGCTATGCGAGATACAAAAAACATATGAGTCATCACAAAACTTCTCCCGCCATGCAGGATTGAGTAGCATAAGTACTATGCCAAAACTTCTCCCCACGCGGAATAAATCTATATACAAATTACCGTAACGAAAAATTTAGTCATGATGACAAAAACATTCACTTATACTTTATTTTCCAATTAAATCTTCGCGTTGGTTCCACTTTAATCAGAAAATTAGTAAACTAACAACAACAAAACAGTCCTAATCTGGCTTGACTCAAGCCTTTTCATTCACATAGCCCAGCATTGTAGCCCATTGGCTTGCAGCCGAGTGATCTCGTCGGTTAAAATAGAAACATACAATGTGCTTCTGCATCAATTCTACATCACGGTTGAGCAAAAAATAGAATTAATGCATAAAACTCATAAATTAACTTGAAAAACATATAA